CTTTGAGCAGCCTCTATACCCACAGCAGAAGTACCAATTTTGGCTTTTTAAAATTATACGTCCACAAAACTTTGTGATGTTTAAATTGACGCTGGACAAAAAAAATACAGGTTAACCTTTTTTCTGGAATTCCCATACTTTCTCTCTCTGAAGCATGCACTACACACCCATTCTGCTCAATGAATGCACAGGGAGAAAAAACATGCATGCATTTCTTCTTCCTAGAGAAATTCAGTACTGTGGTGGAATGGTACTCTCCAATTTAGTTCTCCCAAAGAGACTCTCCAAATCACACTGCTGCTTGCTCCCTCTCCCTCTCTCTCTGCTATCCTCCTTGCCCCTTGGCTGGCTGGAGAGGTGAACTGGAGGTCCAGAAGGTAAAGATCATAGGTTGAAATAACAACAATTTACTGGAAACAGCAATGAGACAAGAAAATGAACAGTAACAGCAACAATATCGATAACAAAAGTGTACAAAAGAGAGGGTGATTTACATGTAAAATGCTCAATGACCCAACAGATGTGCCCAGGTTTTTTCCCAACCAGAAGCCATGCCCTTATTCTCAGAAGCCAGAGTTACTTCCCCCCTGCCTGGTGATGAGGTGAGGTGGTATAGAATAACATTAGGGTCTGCCCACGTCCCCTCAGCCACATCCCCTCCTGGCTATTGTAAAAAATTAACCCCATCCTCGGCTGAAACCAGGAGAAATACTTAAGGGGAAAAGACTATTACCCGATCTGCACAGTGCAAATTTTCCTTTCCTCTGTGAATTCTTTCTATTTGATGAAAAAATCACAAATAAAAAACCTCATAGGTACAAAGATGAGGAAGTTAACCATTAGAACTGTAAAAGTACCTCAAAAAAATGGGACTGGCCAGTTCATCTCCCCTTCTTTAAAGCAAACCAGAACAGGATGCCTTGATTTGAAAAGTGCATTTCTAGTCTGGCAGCTGCAGCTGTTTAGGCAAGTCCATATGCAGGTGCCTGACATTTGACTCTAAGGTCCCTGTCTTGCCACAAACAACCTTCCAAAAAGCTGTACCCTCCCAGGCACCACACTGTCAAATCACAAGGATTTGTGCTAAGTTTCTGAAGAGAGACAAAGCACAGGCTTCTTAGTGCAACACAGATTTCAGCAATCCTAAGCAAGGGGTTTTCATAGCAAGTTGGTTGAGCCAGTCCCAGACCCTTTGTGAAAGAAGATCCAGCCCACACCCATCTGAGACAGTCTGATTGTCCATGTTGTTTCCTATTAATTCCAGCCAAGTGCAGACAGAAACTGCTGAATTACATTTTTTGACTTAAAAAGCAGCAGCAGGTCTTGGATGAGAGTTCATTCACAGTAGAGCAGCGCTACCTGAGGCTTTATATATGCTTCCTGGTGTCTGTGTTGTAGAGTTGTTTGCATGACAGTGACACAGAACTAAGATGAGCAGTGGTGGTAGAAGAACTTTTGGATGAGGAAGAAGACAACCTTCAGAAAGTTGGATTAAGTAGATACCCATTCAAGTACCAGATGATTTAATAAGGACAAGCCTACCAGGCGGCTGCTCTCCTTCAGAAGATGGCTATCTTGGACTGACAAAAGAACCAGGAGCAACTAGACTAAGACTTGCCAACCAACTGTGGGTACTGCAGAAGTAGAAGATAGAAACTGTTGATACAGTGGTTTTACTATAGTTGGCAAATGCTGCTAATAGGCTTGAAGCACATTTGAGAAGCTTTCAGCTGTTCATACAAGCCTCAGTTGATCACAACAAAAATCCTAGGAATTGACAATGTAATGACAATGATAAAATTCGAGATGAGAACATTTTATACTTCTCTTCTGACTCCCTGAAGGGATATAACAGGACTGAAGTTTTCTCTAAGCTCAGTATCATCTCCCTCAGAGATAAACATTGAGGATAAAGGAAAGCGAATTTTTACCAAGAGGTAAAGCAAGTATAGCAAGATATTTCCTCAAAATGAGTTGTAGCCTCCATTCATTGCAGCTCACCAACAAATTAAACCACAGTAACATCTGTATATCAGAACAATTTTTTCCATCCACAAATACTTTTAATCAATTTTTGAATTCATGCAAAATTACAGCAAGCAGAATTCAATAGTTTAAATACATACTGCTTAAAAGTTGTTTGCTTTAAAACTACCAAATTCTGGGGGATGCCTAGGTATTCTTCTCCCCAAAAAGCATGTTTAGTGATGGATAGCCTCTGTGAACTATTTCAGGGGTTCCTTGCTTATGCTGCAGAGTCATGGATTTCAAGCTACATTTAACCTCACACTTGGCTCAAGTTCCTACCAACCTCAAAGGCCAACATATACTCCCTCTTTCCTTTCCATATTTCTTGTGAGACTGATCAGCTCATGGCTAGGCTTCGCGAACGAAGATTTGGGAAGGCTCTATCCACATTTTTTACAGGCACGCTGGTGGCTAATGAGGCCAATATGAGATAGGCATGTCCGATTGCAAAAGGCACAGCAGGAAGACTCCTTAGGTTGTATATTCTGCAAGACACGGTTCTTTCTGCGTTGCCTTTTCTCCTCGAGAGTGATCCTGCGTGTGTTCTCAAAGGAGACAGCAGCGTTATAGATGGCGTGTCTCCAGGC